CCTTTCACATTCCTGTTTCAAGGCCTTTGCTTTCCACACTTGAAAACAGGAATATAAGGATTATAAGACCTTTAATGCTAATTTTCCCTCTAAAGATTCAATAAAATATAACTCCAGACCAGAGGCAGTGACGTATGCCTAGAATCCCAGCACTTGGAAGGCTGAAGTAGAAGGATTGCAAGTTCAAGCACAGCCTTGGAAACCCTTTATACATATGTAAAGTGCTGAAGACATAGCTCAGTACAACAGGCCTTTGTTCCATTCCAAGTATCACCACCAGAGGAATGCATCCAAAAGACCTCCAATAATTGCATTTTTTCTTTCAGTGCATTATACCCTGAGAAATGAAACAGACACTCAAGTCAGTGAACTCCCTAAGTGTTTTCTCAGGCAGTAGCAAGGTTTTTAGTAATATGCAGGCAACTTCAAGGCTCACCAGGTTGAAACAATGGGCTTCAGCAGTCACCTCTGCTCTTAATTGTTTGAATGATAGACACTTCAGTAGAATTAGCTGATGGAAATAGTTATAAGAGAATAATATTCCAGGCTTTATCTCAGAGGAAGCAGGCAAAGGCCTAGGCTAAGATTCTTCAAATAGGGAGAAGATGACACTTGGCAGCTCTTGTGACTTAGAATGGGTACAGATGCAACACGGGGAGAGAATCCGCAAAACTAGGTCTAGGCATGACCTTGTGAATTTCTGTATGACCAATTTACTTCGTATTTAAGATGTATTTTCTTGTATTGGTAGAAAAATATTCAAGAAAAGGAATTATCTCAACATTCTGTTTTTGTTTTTGTTGATTGATATGTAGAAACACAGAAACACACATATTGCTTAACAATACAAATAATTTGCACCTGAAAATCATTTGCTTAGTCCCTTGGAGCCCTACAGAACAAAATGTTTGTAACAAATACAGCTGTGCTGGCGATACTACTGAGTTAGAGAAAACAAAAAGTTGGTCTGGTCCAAGGAACTTATAGTCCAAAGGAAGTCACGGAGGAGATTTAAGAAAACTGGCTTCCATTTTGGGCTTGCTGTTTTTGAAGCATGCGCTGCATTTATGGTAGTATGGCTCTGTTTTTGCTATTTTTTAAAGTGGGAATGCATGTTCTGTTCTTCACCAGCCTTTAAAAGCTTACTCTGCCTTCAAAGCCCCACTTAAATGTCACTGCTCGATCTCCCACCCTCCCTCAGTTATATGTGTTTCCCACCCTGCTTCATGTTAGCTCTTGATTACATTATCTGCAGCCACTTATGTCAGAGTTAATTGTGCATGTGGCCTCCACTTTCTTCATCAAATTATCTCTCCAACCACCTCTAGGAGGACAAAATAAATCTGGGAACTGAGGAAAATGTATTTAAAAAATAACATCAATTATTCAGACAATAGATTAATTACTTCACACAACCTAATACATTTTCCTTCAATATCCAGAAACTTTTTAGGCAAAATGCCCAAAAATTTAAAGTAATGAGTACAATTACTAAACTGAGAAAATATTTTAAGGAATTAGTTTTCGTGTGGTTCTCCATATTTTTGTGTATTTTTAATATGACACTCTTCAAAGTGAATTCTCAATACATTTTGTCACTCTCTGCACCTCTTTTTTCTCATGTGTAAAATGGGAATGCTACCTACCCTACCATGTTCTTGGAAATATCACAAGGGTAAATGAGACTGCATAAAATTAAAGCACTATAGAAATCCACAGTGTTGTTCTCATTAACAATTGGAGCATTTACTTTGTGTCCATATTGTAACACTTGTGTATGCGGACTTTGGCTAACCCCATTGCAGCTGCATTAAGGAAGATTCTCCATGAGCTGCTTAAACGGGAGAAGCCAAAAGTCTGATTACAGCTTAGGGCCCCACCACAGCCATCCAAAGTTACCAAAGAGATGCTGGGACTTGAAGTTTGTTTCCAATTGCGCAGGAGGAAAGTCATGGCCTGCTTCTTGTCTCCACCATGACTCACACCTTTCAGGTCCATTTGGACGGTTCAGATGAGATCTTCTCAGGCCCACTGCCTAAGCACACTGACGTGGTCATACAAAGGGAGAAGTGTGAAGCTGGAACCTGAGACCCAAGGGATTGAGCTGAGGCCAAAGATACTTTATGCTGATTGAGAAAAATCAGTTTAACCATCATTACTGGTTGTATAAATATGAGGCTATTTCTTCCTGGTAGGAAGTATGGAGAAGGATGCAACATCATCCGTATGATATTCCTGCCTCAAATGTGTAACCTGCACCCAATAGCAAGCACTAGTAATTGGCCTGTACTCCTCATTTTCATAATATACTGTACTGAAAAATAAAGAAAGTCTCAGGAATTTTCTGGATAAAAAAGAATTAAAAGAACATTGTATCTGAATGGATGTATAATGCTAGATTAGATACTAGTCCAGGAAAATAGTATTATTGAGGTAATTGAAAAAGTGTGAATGTGGACTGTAGACAGTTAATAGTATTGTGTCTGTATTGTACTTCCTGATTTTGACAGTTATGCCAAGTGAAATTTTCTGTCATTTCTAATGTGATTTTTCTTTATCACTGTTTTGAATGCTTTAAAAAAAGAAAGTACCCTTATTCTTAGTAAATATATACTAAAGTATTTAGGGATAAAGTGATATGCTGTTTGCAACTTAATCTCCAATGGTTCCAAAAATAGGAAAATACAATATAATTGTATGTATAATTACATATATATGTGATATATATCACAAAAATAAATGGAGCAAAATATAAGCAAAAATACTGTCTATATAAAGAAAAGACAGAAGATTATTACTCCTGTTATTCCTCAGTAAGTTTGAAATGATATAAAATAAGAAGCTTTAAAAATACAATCTTATAATACTAAAATCTAAATATTAGTCTTATTTCAAAAGTATGCTCTAGAATATTCTATAATTTATTACTTGATGTTTGTTTTCTTAACTGCCAATTAAGAAAGACCAATTTAAAAAAAATGAAATGATAACCTGAAAATTCTGCAGTGAAAAAAGTGGGAGTCTGACAGTTATGTCACTTATGAACCTGATGTAGCCCTTCAATAGTTAAAATCATTTTATTTATTTATTTATTTATTTATTTATTTATTCAATGTATTTGATACAGGGTCTCACTACGCAGCTTGGTGTCATAGCAATTCTCCTGTCTCAGCCTCCCCAGCACTGGGATGACCAGCATGCACCATCAGAATTAAGTTAAAAAATAAACAGAGCACAAGTGCTTCCAAGCCCAACTGAGAGAAAGAGTTTAACAGTGCTAACGTTCACCTTCATGGGCTCAGGTATGATGTGTCCTCCGTCTAAATGAATCAGTCATGTCAGGTGCAAAGCTGCATGACTGAAGAGTACAGAACAAATGCGCAAGCTGCCTCTAGCACTTTGGGGAGGGTACCAAAGGGCAGTACTTGGGTAGATGACATTCTCAGGAGCAAGGGAGGGTAGAAAGATATACTAAGAAGCAGTATAGTATAGGAAATATTTTCCAAATATTGGAACACCAGAAGTAGTCTCCTCTCATCTTGTAATATGTATATTAACAAGCTTTGCTACTGAGCAAAGAATAAGTGAAAGTTAATTGTGAAAGGAACTGTCAACCAATGCATAATCTCCAGGTAACAGTCTACAGAGACAGTTCAGCAAATCTTGTAGTCAAATACCTCAGCAGGACAATCTGAAAGGTCTGGCCAGTATTAATACCAGAAGTTGAAGAGGTCATTAAAGTAGTGGAACGGGCATTAGGAATGATGGGGCAGATAATGGCCAGATTGACTAGGAAATGAGAAGTCTGATGTAGAGGGAAAAAATGAAAATGGAGTGAGAAAATGGCATAGTGTTAAATGTTTAACAATTTACTTTCTGTGGAAAATGCTAACTTTCATGATATAAATATTCCAACTGTGGACAAGTTCTAGTTACTGACATGGTACCAAATAAGTCGATGTCCACTATGCTGCTCTAGCAAGTAGCTTAGCCATTTTGGTCTCAGTATTTTTCATCTGTAAAATGACAACCTCAAAAGATTACTGAAAGGATCAAGTGAAATTAATCTATTTTCATTTAAGAAATCTTCTGGCTCTGTCCATCTCTGAATCTGTGGAGTTAGGCATATTGGTGGTTTCTTGCCTTTCACATTTCACCCCAAGTCTTGTGAGGCAGAGGACAAGTGAATGTTTGAGAAACACGTTTTAGAATGTAGTAATTACAGAAGAAATCACATCCACATGACCCTAGGTATAAGAAGTTTAAGGCAGTACCCACACAATTTTCTATACAGGAAGGATTTCTTGGTGAAAAATCTGCTTATCTGCTTTTAACATGCAACTAGGGACTGTGTACATGTTTATTATTGCAATTATTTTTTGACCTGCTAGAGATAGAACCTAGAACCTCATGCATGCTAGATAAGCATTCTATGACTGTGCTATACTGTAGCTCCTATCCCTCTATTATTTTAATAATATGTTTCTTTGAGACAGCTTAAGAGTAATTGGTTCTCAATCTATTTTGATACATTTTTTGCCTTCACACACTTCACCCAAATATGGCTGATAGCAAAGACTGCACAGTAAAACTGAGGGATACTCATCCACTGATGTCTGTTATGTTTTTGGTTATGTAAGTTTCTCTTAATACTCCCTGTGCTGCAGCTCTGATCTGGAGAGGCAGCAGCTCAACTGACCCAACCCAAGTTATAGTTTAGTTCCATACTTGGGGCCTTAATGACTTTTTTTTTTCTTTTGGAAGAGGTACCAGAATTTAACCAGAAATTTTGAAAGCAGGGTTGAGAAGAATGAATAAAAGACACTAGAAGTTTGATCCCCGCTGGAAATCTCAGGACTTGAAGCTAATGAAATCAGATGGAAAGGAATTCTGACCTCTTCAATGTGCTGTTGAAGTAGAATAGAGGATAAAACCTCCACCCAGCCATTCAAGAAACTTTGAGTGAAAAGGGATTTAGTAAGGTATAAGAGACATAATACCTTGTGCTTCCGGAGGCTGCCAGGACTGGTGGGCGTAGAGATGGGAGACTGCTTAGACTTGGGGGTAGAGAGCTGGCTGCTGGAGGTTCCGTTTGCTAGCCCAAGGCAAGAGAAAAGGAAGGGATAAAAATCAACAGCATACAAAGGAGCAAGTTATCCTATCCCTCTGAGGACACTAAGAACATTCAAACAAGGCACAAAGACAACCAAGTGATTTGATGAGCAGAACAAGGGTGATAAGAAACACATTCCTCAAAAGGGCAAGAACTGCAGTCCTTGGTTAATTAGGTCCTCTAGCAGTGTGAGGCTTATATGCCTATCCTTTCCCAAGAGTGCTTCCAGATCACATGCATCTGCTTCTTTTTAAGTTTTTTTTTTTTTAATATTCATTCCCAGGTTTTAGCCCTAACATCTCTCAGAGATAGTCTGGAAAAGTATTGTTTTGCTTTAATTTTTGAGAGGGAGAAAATGAGGTGTAGAGAGGTTCATGCCTTATACTAATGGGGAAGAAATATGGGTGTTTTGAACAAAGCCACACATCCTATTTGATGGCAAATGAAGATATAGGTGTGGTACGACCTCCCTTTTAATCTTGCCCCCTCTTTTTCTTGCCATCATTGCTTCCTTTGCTTTCTTGTCCTGGGAGAAAAGAATGGGGAAGAAAACGAAAGTAGACTGAAAGAAAAAGACTGACAAGAAAAATGAGAGAGAAAGTGGAGAAGAAATAGAGAATGAAACATAAAGAAGGGTGCAAACAGAAAAATGGGAAGGGACCAGGAAGATGGCTCAGTAGAATAAGCACTTCTCTGGCAAGTGCAAGGGCCTGAATTCAATCCCTGGGAGAGAGAGAGAGAGAGAGAGAGAGAGAGAGAGAGAGAGAGAGATTGGGGAAAGGATGTGAATAGGAAAAAGGGAGAAAGAAGTCAGGATTGGATTAGATAGGAGGCAAGCAAGTATGAGAGACTGTAACAGAAGAATGTGAGCAGGAAGAAAGGCATAGAGGCACAGACACACAGAAAGAGACAGTGGTGGGTATCATCCCTATGTGTCTGCATTCAACAAAATGCTGAGTGTGACAGATACTGAGGTTAAGCTTAACAGCCTAGGTTGTATGGTAAGAACAATAAGCTTCTCTTCTGGAGGGTTAACAACCTAAGTTTGCAGACCAAAATTGGAGAAAAAGGAGGGCCGCAAGGAAAGCCAACATTTTGGCCCTAGACTTCCAAGATCAATTAAGACTCAGGACATATGAGACCTTGTACTGTAACATCATGTAACTCAGTAGTGTCCCAAATTTTGTGATCAAGGAGATTATGGGGTCAAAGAGGAAAGTGATCGATGATGTAGAGTGTGCCTAAGGAGAGTCACATGGAGAAAAAACATTCTCTCAGGCTTTCACAGAGAGCACATTGGCCAAGCAATGGCCATGACTCATCCACATGGCTGACACTGACAAAGGTTCTACAATCTGAGGTACAGGATCTCAGGATAAATCCTGAGGAGATTTCACTGACCTTAACAGATCCAAAAGCTACAACTCTTGTGGCATAGGTCCTGCTTTACCTTGGTCTTAACCATCCAGCAGAAAAGTATAAAAATGAAGTATAAGAAGTATAGCCATGGTGTTATGTTGAACTGTAGGGGACTCAGGTCAACAATTTCTGACACTGCCCATCAAGAACGAGACCCAATACTATTATGGACTACTGGACTCTTTTAGAAGATTTTGCTGAGTTAACACACTTATAATATTCAAATGATGGAACTAAACAAAAAAAGGGGATACAGATGAATGTCCATTTTTTGTCTGTGTATTCAAAATGGTTAGGATATATATATATATATATATATATATATATTCTCTTAATGAATAGAGGGATTTGTTGTAATAGTGTTTGTAAATAGGATATCATGTCTTCATCTTGTACAGCAAATAACCAGTAGGAAGTACGCAATGTGTTAATTATTGAAACTGTCATGCCAATTTGATTTGAAATTGTCTCATAGCTATTTGTCTCTCAATATAATTATGGAAAAAATAAAAAAACCCACAGAAAATAAATGCTGAGTCTGAGACGGTTTACTTTTTAACATTTTCATATTCCATTGTTTTCATATTGTTTTATATTCCATTGTTAAAGAGTTTTATAAAATCTAATCATGATAAAAAAGCAATCTGTTGCATTGAGGTGGAACAATTAAATAGCTTTTAAAGTACATTTCATGTTTATACATTTTACACTAAAGCATTTTTTTTTGCAGAACCAGGGATTGAACTCAGGCCCTTGCACTTGCCAGGGAAGTGCTTATTCCACTGAGCCATCTCCCCGGCCCCACTAAAGCATTTTTTAATCTTAAAGTTAACACAAATGAAGTGATATATTCTGAAATCTATGTTCAAAACAAAAGAAAAAAATTTGGAGGGTATGTAGAGAGGGAGGGAGAGAGAAAGGGAGAAAGAAAGCAAAAGAGAGAATAAATAGAAAACTGAAAGATGTAAGTAGAAAGATTTTCCAAGAATACTGCTGTTAGTCTCATAGATAAAGCTTAAACTTCTGCATCATGAGTATTTCCTGAAAATATACTTATTCCATATCACTTCTGATAATGCTTTCTAGGGTTTGGAACACTTACATTAGTGGTAGAAATGAAAGAATTATTAGTGGTAGTTACTCAGTTTTTCTAAGTACAAGAAAGCTAAAATTTAAGACACTCATTCTATGGCTTTATGTGTCTGTTCACTTATCTTTCATCCACTCATTGATAAGATTTCCTCCCTTTCATTCACTCACTCATTCATTCATTCATTCATTCATTCATTCATTCATTTAGCCAACAGTGATGGAGCATCATCTATAAGCTAGACACCATATTAGACATTGGGATTTTAGAGATGAGAAAGTCATTTGCTATGTGAAGGCATACTATCACACAGTGGAGTAAGTGTGAAACGGAGCTATGCTTAGGGCATTACTGAAGGCCAGAGGACAGACATTGAAATCAGTGTCCCGGGAAACAAACAAGAGGAGGTCACTCTTGAAAAATAGTGAGAGAAAAATATGGAACTGGTAAGTTTATAGAGAACCAACTAGATTAAAGATTTCCAGGAACTAAATGGGGAAGGCATTGAAGGGAGTTAAGAAGCATCCGCTAATAGATATGAGGTGAAACAAAGCTATTCCTTTGGTGAGACAAAATTATTCTGACATTGTGGTGATTGTTGCACAAATCTATGCCTAAATTAAAACTCACTGATCAAACAATGTAACACAAACGGTTCTTTAAATGAACTAATAGAAAAATAGTATACTTATCAACTCTAATTAACATAATTATTTATATTTTTCCCTTGTTTACTTTCTCCTTTCCTCCATCCCAGTTGTTATTTTTCTTTTGAACAGTTTATTTTCCTTTTCATAATATCTATTATACATTTTCAATCTTGTTTATTCATTCAGTTTGTTACACTAGGGAGACAATATGATTCTTACATATGCAAGCTTGATTTATTTCACTTATAAGCATGGTCTCTAGTTGCATCTATTTACCTATAAAAGCTTTGGGTTTATCTTTCTTTGTAGCTAGTGATACTCCACTGTATAAAAATACAACATCTTTCTTATCCATTCCTCAGTTGATGGGCATCTGGTTTTTTTTCCAAGATTTAGCTATGACAAATTGTGCTGCTATAAACATGGGTGCACTTATATTGTTGTGGTATGGTGATTTCAGTTTGTTTGGAAAGAATACCTAGAAGGAGAATAGCTAGATTGAATGGAACCTCTAATCCTACTCTTTTGAAAAATCTTCACACTGCTTGCCAAAGTGCTTATACCATGCTACACACCTACCAACAGTGGAGAAGGGTTCCTTTTACCCCCCCCAGCCCCTCCAGAATTTGTTACTGCTTGATTTTTTGAAGACAGGTACTGTTTGTATAGTAAGGTGGAATCTCAATGTTGTTTTAAATTGCATTTCTCCAATGACCTATGATGTTGAATACTTTTTCACATATTTATATGCCACTTAATCCTGTGCAAGAAAGACAAGGAAGGAGGTGTCACAATCCATGATTTAGAATTATACTACAAAGCTACTGTGATAAAATCAGCATGGTACTATCAAAACAAGAAACAGAGCTGAGGATCTGTGCAATGGCTTAGATGATGCAGGCACAACCCCAACACTCTCAGCCGCCTTATCTTTGACAAAGGGGTCAAATACATTCACTAGAAGAAAAACAGCCTCTTTAATAGAAGGGCCTAGAAAAGTTTGTTTGTTACAAGCTGAAGACTAAAACGAGACCTATGTCTATCACCATTCACTAAACTAAAGTAAAAATGGATCAAGGATCTAAATAGTAAAACAGAAACACTAAATCTACTAGAGGAAAAAGTAGGTTGAAATCTTGAAGAAATAAGTGTAGGCATAGAGTTCATGAACAAAAACCAAGCTGCACAGGAAGTACTTCAAAGAGTCAACAACTGGAACCTCACTTTATTGAAAAGTTTTTGCACATCTAATGAAATCACCAATAGAGTGAAAAGAAAAGCCATAGAGTTGTAAAAAAATATTATCCAACTATTCCACAGACATAGGACTTCTATCTGGAAAAAAAATCAGACCCACCAAATTCAAAGACTCAATGCAAAAATGAACTTCTAAAATGAATGCACGTTTCTCATATGAAGAAAAACTCACAGAAGTGTACATTTAAATGAGGGAGTTATATGTCTGTGAATTTATTTTAATAAAGCTGATTTTAAAAATCAACTTAGGTAAAGAGAAAGAATACAAAGGTCATTCTATGCAGCACAGACAAAGTCATGAAAGCATGTTGAATATAGTGTGTTTACAGAGCACAAGTAGCTCATAGCATCTCAAGCATAGACAGGGAGTCCAAGGACATGGAGTTAGGACAAGAAGTTGGGCTTTAATTTCACAGAAAGATTTTAAATGGAGTGTGATGCAATCAAATTTGCCTTGTGAAACTATTATTCCAGCTGTTGTGGGAAGACTGAGGTGGGCTGGCCTGGGTTAACAGTAGAAGTAAGCAGGCTGTTTAGAAGACATTGCAGCAGTCCTTAAGTGATGG